AATGAATAATGTTGCAAGCTCTAGTAGGGCACATGCAGTGCTATGGGAGTTGGATGTATCTATGGTACAGTGTGTAAGGTACTGAGAAAGTTGATGCATTGTTATCTGTATAAGATTGATTGCAACCAGCAGTTGTTTGCTGCTAGTAAGGAAACTCAACTGACTTTTCCATTGACCTTTTTTGCCAGAATGGTTGTGGATGTTTTGTGGCAAAGATCCTAGGGTCCAAAAGGCACATTCTTACCTCTGAAACAGCAACTGTTGCATTTGGATTATAGAAAATGCTAATGTTTTCCAGCAGATTACACTGCAACTTGCCATAACTTACAGTCTGAGAAATTCCAGTCTAACATTTTTTCTTGAACCATTCTTCTTGACCATCTTAATCATTAATGGCTTCATGACATGTTCTGTGACAGTCCACTCCAAGAAGTTGCTCTTCATTTTTGTTGTACCTCAACTTCAATAGTGACAAAGCCTTGAGTAACCCAATTTCATGCAAGATGGTACACCTCTGCATATAAGATGCTACATACATCAGTTTCTGTGACAACGTTACACTGCTAACTTGAGTACTGCTTGACCACCACATTCTTTGGATTTTGATCCATATGATTTTTGTTTGGGAGGACATTTAAAAAAAGTGGTTTATTAAGATGTTGCAAAATTTGACAGTCTTAAAAGACAATATCATATTGTATGTGAGCAACATCACAGATGATCAATTATGCTCAACTGTTGAACACATTGTTTATTGCCTTCAGATTTTATATCTTCAGAATGAGGACCACATTGAACAAGTATCCTGAACAAGTATTTTCACAAGACTGCATTGCCAAGGTCTCTGTATGAAACCTTGGCAAAGCAGTCTTGTGCAAATAAAATGTTTGTTGCTTTATGGCAGTGCCAAAAGTGCCATAGTTACAAGTTTTGGTACTCATTTTTTATGGAAATGTCTCATATTTAATAGGCATACCAAAGGGGTGGTCATGAATCCTTTTACCCTTTGCTGCAAAGAGTCCAATATGTTGGTAGGTGCAAACTGACACTCCATACTTTTAATATTTTCCTGTAACTTCTCATTATATGTTAAGCACTTGATTCATACAATGTCCCTTGCTTATTCGTGCTTATGATTACAGCATTATTTTGCTTCAACCATAGCTGGCAAGTGCATAAGACATTCCAAACATGCCAACTATGACTGAAGCAAAAGAACATCATAGTCATGAGAATGGGTAAGTCAAGAAACATTGTGTACTCAACACATAAATGAGAAGTTACAGAAATATATTACAACTATGGAGTGTCAGCTTGAATCTACCAACATATAAGATTCTTTGCAGAAAAGGATTAAAAGATTTACTACCACGAAATGTCTAGATGATGACAAGATTTACTACCATGATGACAAGTTTTACTACCATGAAATGTCTCAATAAGCAGATGTTCAATCATGTTCAATAAGCAGACCTGGTTTATTGAACATGATTGAACATTTGCTTATTGAGACATTTCATTAACCTTGTGCCTAGAATTCGTTGTATTTATGGAAATGTTTTCTGCATGTCCTGAAATGTCACCATATCAGATTTAGTTGCATTTAGACTGCTAAATATTTTTCTAGACAGTGTTTATTAGGGATATTTTAATTATGATCACCCAGTATTTTGTCTATTATTTTCATTAAGAATTAATTACGACATATTGTTGTTTGTGTAAAATTAATTTACCATCATAAATTTTTATATTTACATTATATGATATAATTCTTATAATTATCTTGTATACTATCTAGTAATAAAAAATTATCTGTGCTTTTTTACATTCAGTTTTACATTTGCTTTCAAAAAATCAATTAGATTAGTATACTTTCTCCTTTGTAATTCAGGTTAATTACTCAAATACAGTAGAATCTCATTTAAACGGATCACTCGGGATGCCAAAAATCATCTGTTGTTCCAAAAATCTGTTATATCACAAATGACATTTCTCGCACTCCCAGGAAAATATCCATTATAAGAAAAAATTTTTGTTTTTTAAACCCCTACAAAAAAAACATCCGTACTCAAAATTATTCAGTGTCTTGAGATTGCTATCTTTTATTTTATGTAAACAAGTATATTAAGCATGTAACAAGATCATACATTATGCCATAACAAAGCTGACAGAAACTGTTTAAATGAATATGTTTAAAAATTTGTCCATCTTGGTTTGCTTTGATGATGCTTTACTGTCCATTGAGTATAACAAGTGCTCAATATTAATAATGTTACACACAGTCTGTTCATTTATATTAAAACTCATCAGGAAGGTCTTTACAACTTAGAAAGACTTGATGGCCTCACTAAATTTCGGCATTACGTTTGGGTGATATTCCTGAACACGTATCTGCATCAAAGGTGCAGCCCAAACATGCATATCAGGAAATGTTAAGCCAGAAATAGTTTCCCTCTGCTAATCAACACGCTACAGGAGGGCACTAATGCATAGCTGCAATGTTAGCAGTGAGAACCATGACAATTATGCTCTTAGTTTGCACAGCATGCAATGTATTTTTTTGAATTCAGTATCCAGAAACATTCAATTGTTAATTAAACATTAAAAAAAATAAGATGTTTACCAAAGATGGAGCTAGAAAAAAGTCTGTTATTTCAATTTATGGATCCACTAAAGAGAGATAAAATTACATTGATTTGGCGAGATCTGGAGAAAAAAAAATTTGTTATTCTGTGATCCATTAAAATTATATTCTAATGTACTTCTATTCTAAAGACTGTTTATCAGTTTTCTTGAAATTAACTGTTTTAAATTATTTAGAAAAAGTTTAGCTATTTCTACATTTCCAAAATAAACTACTAAAAAAATTTTTAGGAAAGATAGGCATAAATGTATGTTATTACATATGAGACTGAATTTTTTTTAGAGAATACTTTTTTAAAATAGAACATTCTTCAAAATATGAGAGTTGATTGAAAAGTAATGAGACTGTCTGTTTCTTTTTCTACCAAGTAGATGTGACAACATTTCTGCCTGATATCACATCTACTTTGAACATAATATAAGAATAGTCTAAACCACCATAGTCAATTGGGCCAGTTATGCAGTTGAAGCATCATAGTCTTCAGCATTTTGTCACAATGAGTGAAAACATCTCATACATGTTAATGTGGCAGATGAAATAGATATTTCTCTGAAAGTACTATTGTTTGATGCATGCTGTATGGTCCTACAACACTGGGTTACCCATGGACATGCAGTTAATGCTGGCTCCTATGCAAATGTCCTGAAAATCCATTTGAATGGAGCCATGAAGAAATGTTTTTGACTTTGATTTAGATTATCTTAAGCTAACAGAAAGAATGAAAGCTGTTTGTTCTGTTATCTGAAAATAACTAAATTTGAAAACATTTCTAATTAAATACTTCTGGTAACTTCAGATTTAGCTGTTTGTTTGTTTGTGTTAATCAACTTAAAATAATAATAAGTCAAATTTTTATAAATAAAAAAATGATTGATTTAATTTAATTGTGAAACNTTTTCACAAACTCGGCCACCCTTCGGTCCACATTAGGCCGAGTTTTCGAGGTTCTACTGTATTTTTAGTTCTCTGGGAATGGTTTGATTTGGTGCAATGCAACACGAGCGATTTGCCATGGTACCGTACCTCCTGGGTAGACTTTATATGGGAGACTGGCCCCTATTTAGGTGTTAGACGTATGAAGAAAACCCAGAAAACGCCACATGCCCAGATCATTGGACAAGCGCAAAATTCAGGACAAATTACCAGTGTTTGGTGGTTTTATCCATTTGGCCACAATATGCCCGGTAATAGCCGAATTGATAATACAACCGAAAACTGACAGTTGGTCAGTGTTCGGTGGTTTTATCGTAGGTTCGCGCCTTACCAATGGGATTCCGATTTTATTCACGTTTCTAAAACTTAAAGTCCTCTCGGGAAGCACTCCTCCTAGACAGTTCGTCTGTGTATTGTGTTGTCTCATTAAATATCAATTCGATACAATCCTTTTTTGAAAATTAGAAATACCATCTTAGTGCAATGAAAACATTAGAAATATTTAATAAATTCCTTCTTTACTTCATGCGAATTCGTCCAGAACAATGCTCATACCAGTTCATTCATCTCTCCTCTATGGTTAAAATAAATCTTAACATGTAGTTCTCTAACATATGCTTACAAAGACTTAGTTGCTCGGCAGCATCGTATCTGACTACTGAGTGATAGATTGCTAGTTCCCAGTAAACTTTTGGACGGATGGCCGATCGGTTAAGGTGGCAGCCTACCGATCTTGGAAACCCGGGATCGATCTGGGCAATCGAAAAATCCCTGGAATTTTTTTTATAGACAGTCCGTCCTAGATATTTCGGGCTCTCTCTCCCATCACCCGGTTGCTCCGTGGACTTGAAACTAGAAAGTGACTCTTTAGCGCAGGGGTGGCCAACAGTTTATGCCTCCGGGCCGAGTTGAAAAGAAAACTTTTTCCACGGGCCGAACCAGAGGCTGCCCTAGGAAGATTTTGAGGTGGTGCGAGATCTCATTGTGGTGTCACCCCATAGAGATTGAATTGTAGATAGAGATTACAAAAATTTTCACATTATTTAGAGATTATATTTTCACATTACTGTATTACATTTTCACATTACTGTATTATGCTTTATCAACACTCTACGCTGTACTTACGAGCTGCACTGTGAGTTGTTGACCTTTTCTTTTTTTTTATTTGGGGCGTCAGAATTTTTCATCGAGCTCTTCGGACTTCAACCTAATATTGAAAGATTGATCGCGGGCCGCATAAATTCATTAAGCGGGCCGTATGTTGGCCATGCCTGCTTTAGCGCTTTCAGGGCGAAAAGAGTAAAATAAGAAGAAAAATTTACTGTAAATATATAACCTAATTTTTAAAATTATAAATTTATGGAATAATATTAAAAAATAGATTTAATTTCTGAAAATTTTATAAATATTTTTGTCTATCTGGCAACATTTCGCTTTATCATATTTTGATTTAGTAGGAACCACGTGTGATGTGAAATATGGTATGTATATCGGCTTTGAATCAATTTTTAACCATTTATTCAATCTTCGTTCTCTTTATCACAATAATAGGTTTATAATATTAATTATTACTCTAAATAGATTAGCCTTTTGACATAATAAACGAGATATGTTTTATTAAAACAAATATTTAATAAATAGGACAATTTCTTTTTGAATGTTATAGTCTATCTTTCGTAATTTGGTTTGTTTGTGAAGTTACTATGTAATAATGAAAGTAGTTGAATAATTTATTACATGTTCTTATCAAAAGACAGTTCTTTATTTCCATATTTGGTATACAGTATATGTTACAAGTTATTTGTTAAAATCTGCTATCATATACAGGTATACCTCGACTTACGTCGGTAATTGTTTCCAGGAGAGGCGACGTAAGTCGAATCTACTTGTCACTAGGCTAAATCATAAATTATCGTTCCCGGTTCTGTATTTTATTTATTAATGCATTTTTAATAATATATGGTTAATAAGAATCTATTTTAAGCTTACAAACAAATAAATTTTAGTTTTTAATATAGTACAGAAAAAATAATCTAAATTTACAATTCCTTTTGTAAATACAGTACATACTTGTAAATGTATATATTTTAATATAATTTTATGTGCTTTAAACGCTTTTCTAGTGATATTACGATTCCAATATTTGTGGCAGACAGACATAAAGTCGAATAAAATGACTTAAACTTGATTTTTATTTTTCCATATACTTTTTTGACAAACGATGTATAATCGGAAATGACGTAACTCGAAACGACAAGTCGAGGTATACCTGTATATCTATATGACATTGTTTGGGATGTTTGTATACGGAGTGTTACTATTAGACTAGGCAAAAAAAAAAGCATAATTCACCATGCAACATACTCTATTTATAGATAGTAACATTTCTATTAGGTCATTTGGTGAAACATTGTTATTTAATAACAAATATAAAAATGAAATTTAAAAACAAATTATCAAATATAGTTCATTATTTATTCTTGCAGTTTACACATTTATTATACTTAGAAGTACATAATTGACTTCTTTTATAAAAACATTTATTGATATTACACCTATTAAACTTGCAGTAACAAAAAATCAAAACCTTTAAAATTCAGTATTTAATTTTGAAAAACAAATATTTTTGGCTAATTTAAGTAGTCATCATTAGATTCAAACTACACATAACAGAATCATAGGAATGACTGCATTTGGGGACCAGCACAAGATTATTCTTGATAAAAAGAATGTTAAACTTATTATAGAGAAATGTCATGAATATTGGTTTTTGTTTTAATTTATCCTCTCAGTGCATTCTGCATTTTCTATAAGTCATATTCTGGTTATAAAAATGGGAAGCTGGGCCCTGCATATACTATGGTTGGTGGGGCCATGGCCTCCTTGCCCCATTTCTACACTTATGTCACAACAATAGGATTCCAATATAATGGTTCAAAATAATTTGAACATAGGGCACATTTTATTTAAAATATGTCATATTAGAAAATGACATCACTAAAATAAATGAATAATAATAAAAATAACATAAAACGAAACTTATAATCAAAAAATAATGAAACACCAAGGTTATACAAATATATAACAGTCTAATAGAGAATTGTGACATTAAGATAAACCAGTGGTATAGAAGTTACTAGCATTGGACAGTTTTATAGAATCTGTTTTCTTCAGTCTTTTTTCACACTGCATATGCACTTGTAGGCTACATCTCCAGTATTTCCAAGAATTTGGCTAGGGCTGGGTTGTAGCCTCTCCTAACTATGGCAGAATTGTCCCAAAGGACTAAATTACCCCACTGCATAGCAAATGGTGAAAGAGAAGTTGAGTAGAAGACTTTATTACTATCATATTGATGTTCCTTGACTCATATAGGTAAAGAATAAGAAGTATATACTACATAGACACTGGACATATTTCCTTGTCAAGCAGCTAAGTAAGTAAGGTAGTGATGTAGTTTGTTCATATGAAATGCTCTATGTTATTGTTTTGCTTACTTAGCTGCTTGCTACAAGGAAACACACTGTCTTTTCCAAAATGTCCATCCTCCAAGGCACTTGTGACATTCCTGCTGTCTGGCTGGAAATCTTCTCTTTCTTATCATTGTATAAAAGGCTATATACAGTTGACCCCCCTATAATGCAGGTTCATATAATGCAGATTCGTATATCGCAGTGAAAAAGTTGCGACCGTATTCATATAAGGATGCTAAAAGAGACTCTTAAAGTGCAGTAAAAAGTCATCGCCGACTCGTGTCACGACAGGATTGGTCAAATCTGGACCAATAGTGGACGAGCAGCCAAACTACTTACATGCTACAGAGGGTTTAGGCGGGTAAGTTGAGTTTACTATCGTCTGTACAGTATATAAATTAGGTACTGTAAGTCTAATACAGTACTGTAATTTTATACATTTCTTGTGAAAAAAACATTTCTTATTCAACGGTCATAAAAATTATATCTATTAATGATGTCGCCAAAGTTCTATGAACTTTTCGCAGAAAAATAACTTATCAGAAAACGCGCCCACTGTTTGGTGCACTGCTCCGCGACGAAAACAAGCTTAAGCAATAGTGTTGTCGAACGGTGCACACTTGGTAAGTAATCCTACAATTTTTTGTTTATAGCATAGTTTATATGGTTTATTCCCAAAAAATTATACATGTTTTGGAAATGTTGAGTCAAATTAGTCTAGAATCGATTAATTTTATGGAAGAAAACCTTTCAAACAGCCGTAGTCTGTATACTGCACATGTGCCGGGCTGTGATTGGCTCATGTATTTAAGGATTCCTACAATGAGAAATTCTTATAAAGTGGAACGTATCTACTGCGTTATGGGGGGGTAAACTGTATAGTCAGATTGTCCTTGAACATGATGTCAGAATTTTGACAGATTTATAGTAAAATAATAATACAGCTATTATGTGGTGCTAACAAATTTGCTCAAGGCATCATAATTCCTTGTGTAAATGTTTTATTAGAAATTATTGTACTTACCAAGTTCAAACAATATAAAATTTAAATCAGACTTTACGGTTCATTAAGTTAGAAATTTTAATATATTTATAATAATAAATAAATTATGAATTTGTAAATGTAATTTTTTTAAAGGTTCAAACATTTATTTATATTTTAGTTGAGGAGACAAGCAAGATTACGAAGAGAATATCTGTATAGAAAATCAATTGAAAACAAAGAACGTCTTATTGCTGAAAAAAAGGAAAAAATTAAAAATGCAATTGAAGGTAAATAAATTCACTTGTGATGTTTTTAATTTAAAGTATTTTATTTATATAATTTTTAAAATTGTTATCAAGACATCAAAAATATTTAATATGACTTAAAATTGCAATTAAAATACCAACTCTTCAACACTGTCTGTAAAGATATTTAGCAGTCTAAATGCAACCACATTGGTATGGTAACATTTCAGAACATGCAGATGTTTGTATAAGAAACAAATAGTACTTTAAAATTCACTTCTATATCACTTTTGGTACTGCAAGCAATGAGAAAATAGTTTCTTTTGCATAAGCACTCTGAATGCAGTCAAGTTCTGGGTATAAAAGTGACCCCATTGAATTTATTCTTATCAGCTATGATGGCCATCATCTTACCCAAACATGCATTTTTTTTGAAGCTGTTTCTGAAAACAATGGCAATGCCGTGACTGCATTTCAGGAATTTCACTGTCATAAGAATTTACACAAAGGAGTATTTGCTTCACAAACTCTTAGGAGAATAATCGTGTGATTCGAGGAAATTGGGCTGAAGTTCAATTTTGTGAGGGAATAAACTTATTACTTCACATTTGAAAAAAAATTTACAAATGAAATTTTCTTTGGATGAACTGTAAAGTGTCTTCTTTCATTGTCCCTTCAAACACCACCAGGAAATAACAATTTCATGGCAAAGATTACTTTTATTTGGAGGCTACTTCCCCATCTCAACATGCAAAATATTAAAAAGTTCCCTCTAGTGGCAGCATATACATTTGTCAAAATTATACATTTAATAAAAAAAGTTAGTAAAAGTGGGTAAGTAGCTTCCAAATAAAGGTCATCCACCATGAAATTGTTATTTTCTGATGGTGTTTGAAGGGAAAACAAAAGATGATACTTTTACAGTTTGTTCAATGAAAATTTCATTTGTAAATTTTTTAAAGTTTATACTTATGTCTCAGCTAAAACCTTTTTTTATTACTTCACAAATTGTTGAAAATTTTACCACAACTGTTGTTGAACAGTCAATGAATAATGTTGCAAGCTCTAGTAGGGCACATGCAGTGCTATGGGAGTTGGATGTATCTATGGTACAGTGTGTAAGGTACTGAGAAAGTTGATGCATTGTTATCTGTATAAGATTGATTGCAACCAGCAGTTGTTTGCTGCTAGTAAGGAAACTCAACTGACTTTTCCATTGACCTTTTTTGCCAGAATGGTTGTGGATGTTTTGTGGCAAAGATCCTAGGGTCCAAAAGGCACATTCTTACCTCTGAAACAGCAACTGTTGCATTTGGATTATAGAAAATGCTAATGTTTTCCAGCAGATTACACTGCAACTTGCCATAACTTACAGTCTGAGAAATTCCAGTCTAACATTTTTTCTTGAACCATTCTTCTTGACCATCTTAATCATTAATGGCTTCATGACATGTTCTGTGACAGTCCACTCCAAGAAGTTGCTCTTCATTTTTGTTGTACCTCAACTTCAATAGTGACAAAGCCTTGAGTAACCCAATTTCATGCAAGATGGTACACCTCTGCATATAAGATGCTACATACATCAGTTTCTGTGACAACGTTACACTGCTAACTTGAGTACTGCTTGACCACCACATTCTTTGGATTTTGATCCATATGATTTTTGTTTGGGAGGACATTTAAAAAAAGTGGTTTATTAAGATGTTGCAAAATTTGACAGTCTTAAAAGACAATATCATATTGTATGTGAGCAACATCACAGATGATCAATTATGCTCAACTGTTGAACACATTGTTTATTGCCTTCAGATTTTATATCTTCAGAATGAGGACCACATTGAACAAGTATCCTGAACAAGTATTTTCACAAGACTGCATTGCCAAGGTCTCTGTATGAAACCTTGGCAAAGCAGTCTTGTGCAAATAAAATGTTTGTTGCTTTATGGCAGTGCCAAAAGTGCCATAGTTACAAGTTTTGGTACTCATTTTTTATGGAAATGTCTCATATTTAATAGGCATACCAAAGGGGTGGTCATGAATCCTTTTACCCTTTGCTGCAAAGAGTCCAATATGTTGGTAGGTGCAAACTGACACTCCATACTTTTAATATTTTCCTGTAACTTCTCATTATATGTTAAGCACTTGATTCATACAATGTCCCTTGCTTATTCGTGCTTATGATTACAGCATTATTTTGCTTCAACCATAGCTGGCAAGTGCATAAGACATTCCAAACATGCCAACTATGACTGAAGCAAAAGAACATCATAGTCATGAGAATGGGTAAGTCAAGAAACATTGTGTACTCAACACATAAATGAGAAGTTACAGAAATATATTACAACTATGGAGTGTCAGCTTGAATCTACCAACATATAAGATTCTTTGCAGAAAAGGATTAAAAGATTTACTACCACGAAATGTCTAGATGATGACAAGATTTACTACCATGATGACAAGTTTTACTACCATGAAATGTCTCAATAAGCAGATGTTCAATCATGTTCAATAAGCAGACCTGGTTTATTGAACATGATTGAACATTTGCTTATTGAGACATTTCATTAACCTTGTGCCTAGAATTCGTTGTATTTATGGAAATGTTTTCTGCATGTCCTGAAATGTCACCATATCAGATTTAGTTGCATTTAGACTGCTAAATATTTTTCTAGACAGTGTTTATTAGGGATATTTTAATTATGATCACCCAGTATTTTGTCTATTATTTTCATTAAGAATTAATTACGACATATTGTTGTTTGTGTAAAATTAATTTACCATCATAAATTTTTATATTTACATTATATGATATAATTCTTATAATTATCTTGTATACTATCTAGTAATAAAAAATTATCTGTGCTTTTTTACATTCAGTTTTACATTTGCTTTCAAAAAATCAATTAGATTAGTATACTTTCTCCTTTGTAATTCAGGTTAATTACTCAAATACAGTAGAATCTCATTTAAACGGATCACTCGGGATGCCAAAAATCATCTGTTGTTCCAAAAATCTGTTATATCACAAATGACATTTCTCGCACTCCCAGGAAAATATCCATTATAAGAAAAAATTTTTGTTTTTTAAACCCCTACAAAAAAAACATCCGTACTCAAAATTATTCAGTGTCTTGAGATTGCTATCTTTTATTTTATGTAAACAAGTATATTAAGCATGTAACAAGATCATACATTATGCCATAACAAAGCTGACAGAAACTGTTTAAATGAATATGTTTAAAAATTTGTCCATCTTGGTTTGCTTTGATGATGCTTTACTGTCCATTGAGTATAACAAGTGCTCAATATTAATAATGTTACACACAGTCTGTTCATTTATATTAAAACTCATCAGGAAGGTCTTTACAACTTAGAAAGACTTGATGGCCTCACTAAATTTCGGCATTACGTTTGGGTGATATTCCTGAACACGTATCTGCATCAAAGGTGCAGCCCAAACATGCATATCAGGAAATGTTAAGCCAGAAATAGTTTCCCTCTGCTAATCAACACGCTACAGGAGGGCACTAATGCATAGCTGCAATGTTAGCAGTGAGAACCATGACAATTATGCTCTTAGTTTGCACAGCATGCAATGTATTTTTTTGAATTCAGTATCCAGAAACATTCAATTGTTAATTAAACATTAAAAAAAATAAGATGTTTACCAAAGATGGAGCTAGAAAAAAGTCTGTTATTTCAATTTATGGATCCACTAAAGAGAGATAAAATTACATTGATTTGGCGAGATCTGGAGAAAAAAAAATTTGTTATTCTGTGATCCATTAAAATTATATTCTAATGTACTTCTATTCTAAAGACTGTTTATCAGTTTTCTTGAAATTAACTGTTTTAAATTATTTAGAAAAAGTTTAGCTATTTCTACATTTCCAAAATAAACTACTAAAAAAATTTTTAGGAAAGATAGGCATAAATGTATGTTATTACATATGAGACTGAATTTTTTTTAGAGAATACTTTTTTAAAATAGAACATTCTTCAAAATATGAGAGTTGATTGAAAAGTAATGAGACTGTCTGTTTCTTTTTCTACCAAGTAGATGTGACAACATTTCTGCCTGATATCACATCTACTTTGAACATAATATAAGAATAGTCTAAACCACCATAGTCAATTGGGCCAGTTATGCAGTTGAAGCATCATAGTCTTCAGCATTTTGTCACAATGAGTGAAAACATCTCATACATGTTAATGTGGCAGATGAAATAGATATTTCTCTGAAAGTACTATTGTTTGATGCATGCTGTATGGTCCTACAACACTGGGTTACCCATGGACATGCAGTTAATGCTGGCTCCTATGCAAATGTCCTGAAAATCCATTTGAATGGAGCCATGAAGAAATGTTTTTGACTTTGATTTAGATTATCTTAAGCTAACAGAAAGAATGAAAGCTGTTTGTTCTGTTATCTGAAAATAACTAAATTTGAAAACATTTCTAATTAAATACTTCTGGTAACTTCAGATTTAGCTGTTTGTTTGTTTGTGTTAATCAACTTAAAATAATAATAAGTCAAATTTTTATAAATAAAAAAATGATTGATTTAATTTAATTGTGAAACACATTTTTAATTAATTAATTAAATTAACTATATTTATTAATCATTGAATTAACTGATTATCAATATTTAATAATAAATTTTTTTCAGGAAATAAAGTAATTCCCACTGATCTGAGAGAAGAAGCTTTAACTCTACAGAAATCATTAGATTGGGATGATGAGGGAGGAGAAGGTAATAAGTTTTATATTGAAATTTTGTTAATTTGATTTTCATTGTTAATTAATAATAAAAAAATTTAGTAAATTTTTATAATCAAGTTTAAATAAATGAATGAATATAAAATGTTTATATAAAACAAAGCTAAAAAATTTCATTTCTGATCACTAATTTCTTGAATAGATTGCTTATAGAGAACTTGCATGTACAGTACATCATCTCACGTGACCAATTTGTCATCACTTCTTTTCAAAGACAGACTGGTTTATTCTTTAATATATTCAGCATCAAAGTCTAGAAAAATTTTAAAATTACAACATTAAAATTCTTTTACATAATCATATGATAATGTGACCAGAGGGTCAGCACCTCTTTAGTGCCTCGTCAGGACTGACACCACTGTGTCTTCTAGGATAGACACAGAAACCTTAACAGCCACAAATTCAGAATTTGCATGAGTGGTCGTGTGCGGGTGATCAGATTCGAGATGGAGGAAGATTGAGAGATGGATCAGAAGTGAATCACTCAGATACAAGGTTAACAACTAAAATAATCAATTTAATTTAACAAAACATAGCTCTGTGCTAGGTTATAATGATCAAGAGAGAGAGTTTACAAGAAACCGCGAGTTGGTTTATACAGTGGGTGATCAGTTAACGAACAGATCGGATAACGAACACTTTGCGAAAGATTTTTATGTTCGGACAACGAACACATGATTGGATAACGAACACCACACAGAACAGACACAAGAAGAAGCGACATAAAATGATGAATACCGATTGGTCTTCTCTTGTCTTCGGGCAGCAATTTGAAACTTTTCGGAGTGTGGGAGATGTCGACACGACATTGATGCTCAAGCCAGTATATACTGATCAGATAGTATTCCTCCGAACTTTGAAACTCTCCCTTGTAATTCCAGCCTTTTATTTTTCTGACAAAACAATTCTTTTATGTATTCACGATACTGTCGGGTGGGCACTCGTTAAGTTTTGCATTGGTTTTTATTTTTGAAAGGTGAGAGTATAATAGCAAAGGTAGAGAGTGGGCAGAAGATGTCTGACGTTGCTGGGAATTATGGCTTGAACAGTTCTACAGTAGGCTGCAGTTCAGTCTTATCTAAGAAAGATATTGTATAATCAAGAAGACTCAAGCAGCTTAAGGAGTAACAAAAATGACATCTGAGAAATAAAGAACATTGAAGAGCTCGTAATGGAACCTGAAACGGATCTGATGACAGAAAAACGCCAATAACTCTTGAATGAAGAACATCAAGAAACTCGGCGAGATATGTTTTCTTCTGAAAAAGAGGATTAATGCCGATATTTACTATTAAAGATCTTTTGAAGAAGTGGGAAGATGTCAGAACAATGGCCTTAGAATGGCATCCAAACCAGGTTGATGCTTGGGGATTTCTACAATTGCAATGCTATTAATTATTTATGAAAAATCCTGAAGAAGAGAGAAAAGCAATCGACATTAGACAGATTCTTTAACCCTTTCAAACGGAAAAACATGACTAATAAAAACGCAAGACTGTGCATGTATATATTTTTTTATTTTTGGTGGTCTCTGGAACGAATTAATTAAATTCCCATTAAAACCTATGGTAAATCAATAATCGGTTAACAAACAGTTTGGATAGCGAACAACGTCTTGGAACGGATTATGTTCGTTAACCGATCACCCACTGTATACCTTTAATGCACTTAATAATGCAGATTGCGGATCGCTGACTTGTTTGGACGTTCATCAGTTGTTATCGGTTGGTTGGAGCAGTTGGGGAGGCGTTAAATTATTTTTCCTAGGATGGCACTCAAACCAAGGGAAATGGAAGGATAAAATAATCCGGGGAGTTCAAAGGTGTCCACCAACGTGGAGTATAAAATCCTGGATATGATACCTCTTGGGTTTTTCAGGGTACTTGATTGATGCTCTCGTGAACTCTCGACTACTCCTTGTCCTTAAGTCACTCTTTTTATAACTCCAAATCACATTATTCTTTTTCACCAATTGGGAGTTTTTGCTCTTAGTTTCCAGTGACACATTCGATGTGTTCCCTGGGAAAGGAAACGACTCCAGAGAGAGCGATGCGATCATTCTCTAGTAATAAAAATGGGGAAACATTTTTTTAAAGACGAAAAACTAATTTTTTCTTAAAATTTGTCAGGTCCGGTCTCCCAAAATCAAAATTATGGGAGATATTAAAAGAGAGAAATATTAATAACACGTTTATTAAAGCAGTTAAAGAATTATATAGAGAATTCATAATGAAAATAAAAATTAGAAAAAAGAAATATCAGAAGGATTTATGGTATCAAAAGGACTAAGACAGGGATGTATCTCATCAACTTTATTTAAAATCTACATAGAAGGAGTATTGAAAATATGGAAAACAAAATGTTGTAATATGAGAATAGATATTAGCAGTAAACCAATGTTTACATTGCAATTTGCAGATGATCAGGTGATAATGGCAGAGGATAAGTAAGGATGATCTAAAGTACATGACAAAAAAAATAAAAGAGGAATATTTTAAAGGAGGTTTATATATAAACATGAGTAAAACAAAATATTTATGCATAGGAAGAGCTAAAACAGACATGGAACTGGAAGGAGAAAAGATTGAGGGACATGAACATTACAATTATCTTGAAATACAAATTCATCAAGATGGAAGAGATACATTAGAAATTAATACAAGATTAGCACAAAGTAAGAGAGCAGTTAAAAGATTAAATGGAATATGGTAGAGTGAAGAAGTATTTGATCAAGAAGAAACAGAATATATAATGCTATTGTTAAAAGCATTCTGTTATACGGGGTGGAGACATGGAGAATGACTGGGGAAGAGAGGAAAAAATAACAATGGTTGAAATGGATGCATTGAGAAGATCGTGCAGAATTTTAAAAAGAGAAAGAATAACTAATGAGAGAATTAAAGACCTAATGGGACTGAAGAGATGGTTTTGGAAGAAATAAAGAGGAAACAACTTATTTGGTTTGGACATGTGAAAAGAACGAGTGACGAAAGACACTTGAAAATGTCAATGGAATATAATCCACAAAAAAGAAAAAAAAGAGGAAGACCCAGACAAACTTAGTACAATGGAGTAAAGTTAGCAAATAGTGAAAAAGGATTAAAGAGGAATGGTGTTTGGATAGAGAGAGATGGAGAGGGTTCCCTGGAGATCGGAAGGTGATGTCAGATACCATAAACCAAAATATAGATAGATAGAAAATTCTTTTACTTGTTAGGTTCTCTTCAGATAAATGTGCATATATAATTATGGAAAACAGATCATACATCCATTTTTATAAATGATTGTATGATAAAAAAACAATCATCCAAACAAAACATGTTTTGTAAAATTTAATTTTACATTCAGGTTTTTTACTAGTAAAACTATAAATTTCTCATTTAAAGTTATAAATATGTGAATTAATGTAATAAATCTTATAAGAAGTGATATAAAAAGAATAAAAGAATATATTGAAAAAAAATTAATTTGCAAAATATATAAAATATGTTATTTAATTGTATTGAAGTAAAATTCTGAAATGTTTGTTTTGTGCAATTAATACTTTGTCTTTTATGAATTGACTTTTTGAAATCTGATTATCCAAAATGTTTTAATTATAATTTTTGTTAAAAATTGTATAATAATATCTAATTTTTAGTTTTTAGAAAAACAATTGTAAATTGCCAATTATAATTGATGGAGGAAATAAGTAATAAAAATAATTTATTTATATTAATGGAAAAAGATGTTAATCAATGACACTGTAAAATTAATAAAACATAATAGTATATTTTTTTAAAACTGCAAACATNATGATATCGGAAGGAGTTCATTTGGAGCCCTTAATGTAAAAAAAGCTTTTGAGTATGCATATCTTGTACTCAGTCGAGCGGTTCAACCACACAACAGTTTAATAGTATAGATATAGAGGAGGTAACTTTTAATTATTTCTTAATTAAGCCAAAATCAAGAAAATAATTAAAATATATTTATTTTCATTTGAAATATCAGATTTCAGAGTAATTACAATTATCCTAGCAACCCTTTCATGTCTCACACCAATCATTCTAAAGGAAACCTACAAATTTTGCTTTCCTAATCCTAAATATTTGTAGACTTCACCCCCATCCATGGAATTAATGTCATCTCATTTGCAAATAGAAACTTTCCTGTTTAAAAATTTTATTTTATTTTAATGTTTCATGTTAATGTGTGAAATCTTATTTTTTTAATTAGTGAGATTGTTATATTTATCTTTATTTAAATTTAGGTGTTACTTCCCATATGGATGATGAATATCGATGGGCAGGAGTTGAAGATCCAAAAATTGTAGTGACAACATCAAGAGATCCTAGTTCAAAACTTAAGCAGTTTGCTAAGGTTAATAAAATTTCAAATATTTGAATTACCTAGATAAATAAATAAATAATTATATAAATAACTGTAATAAATAATTGTATGATTTGTTTAGTTGAAAATTTCCATAAGCTTTTTAGAACAAAAATGCAAACATTTCACTTAATTAATTTATTGTTACACATTATTGCATTTATTATTTTAATGTTTAAAGATTAAAGGTTCTTTTTACTAGAAGTTTCTAAAGCTTATACAAATTATAATAGTTTTAAATGTATTCCAACAAAATACAAATATTGGTTGTCAAAGTAATATAATGCCAAAATAAATTTTTATATCAAATTAAATTAATCAAAAATAAATTATGCTTAATAAAATTATTATAAATTAATAAAAGAATTTTTAAGTTTAGTTTAGTTTTACATTCAGTAAGTTTTGTGACATGGGATAAAGGTTGTACATTACCTGTACATTGATATGTTAATTGGATCATAAGCTTTCATAGCTTTCCAATGGGTTTAATAGCTGAACTTTAGTCACCTTTAAATTAAGTGTGTTGCCACCACTTCAAAATCTCTAAATAATTCAAACTCTAATTATTTTGTTGTTTTTCTTCTTTTCTGAATATTTCTTTTGTGGTGGTGTAATGTTTGTAATGTCAGTGGAATCATGTTCAACATTTGAAACGTTGAACATGATTCCACTGACATTCCAAACCCATTATCAAACTTCTAGGCTTACAGGAAGGCGGTGCTGAATGTCTGACGTACCATTTTTGCGTTGAAAATGTCGGCCGCAACCTCTCTGTTGTGTTCTAAATCCTTATTTAACAGTAGCATAGAAAGAAATTATGTCAACTTTAAAGAATATAACATCCTTAAATGTATTATTGTTGTTAATTCTTGGAACTCTTTTTTAACATCATAATCTTCAGATGTCAATTATGTGATTTTCCCAATATTGTTTGCAGAAAAACTGTTAGCACTTTTTCAACCTGTAAGATGAATGTGCTCTTTTGTTGACCAATGATTTCAATGACTGATCAGCAGTTTAAATTAAAACAGTAATTTAACTATTATACAAGTAGAGCCTGTATTTAGTAGGTTGGTTATTCATGGTTATGTTATTGCATAATGAATTTTTGCCTTAATAATTTCAATATTTTGTGGATGATCTTCGTATATCACACTCTTCGTCCACAAAATATTGAAATTATTAAGGCAAAAATTCATCACTAACATACCTAAGAATATGTTCTGCTGCTCTATGCATGATATACTTTAAAGATGTAAAGAGTTGGATTAACTGCATATGAATGAGGTGATGTCATCATCAAAATATAAATGACAAACTATGTTGTTTGAAATCTTGTATGCAAAAATTTGTAATAAGTATTCAAAAGTTAATAACTGTTTATTTCTAATTGCTCATTCAGTCAAAGAATGCAGCCACTATTTGACAATCACCACTTATGAAATGTTTCATCTTCATAGGTGATGGCACATCTGGGAATCCAGACTGCTGATTGCCACGTTATTTCAGGGTTATATTGATAGATTCAGGATTTATCACTAGTCACATTTTCCCAAACACATTTTGATTTCTTATGTTTAAATCTTTGGATTGTGTAGCAGTATCACTCCTTTAACAGGTTTGACAGGGAATGCAGAATTTATTAATCTTCTTGACAGCTTTGTGTGTAAAATCTCATTACAGCTGATCCAATGTCTAGACTGAACTCTATGTTCTTGTATGTTAAATGTCAATGTATTCTTACTATAGTTTCTGTAATGCTGTTCAGGGTGACTGCTTATGATGTCATCTTTGAGAGTAGTCCTACCATATCAAACTGCCAAAATACGTGTGTGCAAGAGTTTGAGAAAGCATCTTACAAACACTGGAATGATTGTGCCTCCATTAAATCCAATTTAGAATTGTTAAACAATGCTAAAAAATGCTCCCAAGTTAACTTCATTGCAAATTACCACCATTCTGGAATAATGATAGTTTGAAAGAGCAAAATATCTATTGACACATCAATTAAACAAGAGTTATTCTACCAAATACAGCAAACTTCATGCTTCACATTATGTATGATTCTTATATCTAGAAACATTCAGCATGGCCATTTATATCACCTTCAAATGTTATTATATTAAATATATACAGTATTTATTTTTTTATTTCTTGTTCAAATTTATAGATCTAAATTCATTATTTCTGACTAATGGTATTGAAATGCATTTTGCAATTTTAGTATTTATTTGAATTTATTTATTTTAATAAATTATTAATTTTTTTAATTAATTAGGAAATTAGATTAATATTTCCTAATTCTCAAAGAATGAATAGAGGAAATTATGAAATAAAACAAATAGTTGAAGCTTGTAGAGCTAATGATGTCACAGATTTCATTATTGTTCATGAAACTAGAGGCATTCCAGGTAAAGTTAATATAAAATAATATATTTTTATATTATTCATTCATATTTTTTAATGTTTGAGAGTTGTTTTTTTTATAAATTTTTTAGATGATAGATTAATACTAACGAGTTAATCTATAATTGTTTTAGATGGATTAATTATTTCACATCTTCCTTTTGGCCCAACTGCTTATTTTACTTTATTGAATACTGTAATGCGGCACGACATTCCTAATTTAGGAACAATGTCTGAGGCCTATCCACATCTTATATTTCATAATTTCAAATCTCGAGTGGGGAAAAGAGTAAGAATTTTTAAAAATTAAATTACTTTGCTGTAAAAAATATAATATAGTGTAATTGGAATATATTAATAGCTGATTAATTTAAAATAGAGTAATTCCTCCATTTACATGACTAATTGGTTCTTCAAAAAACAGTGCATAAATGAAAACACTTAATAGGAACCATGGATAGCTGTTTAAAATAAGGATCTGTTTCATATTCCCAAATACTATATTTAACTCTTATTGAGGTAGAAAAGTTTTAACTAAAAGTTTGTTTAAATACTTGTCTATATAAGAGGTCACTGAAAACAAAAAAGAACACACTTTTTGGTGTAGCAATCATTTATTTCCATAAAGTTGATTACTTAAAATTTAAGGTTTTTTCAGCCATGTTAATGAATTTTCATAAATGGAGGGATTAATGTAATTATCATTCAAAATTTAGTTAATAAATGTACTTTATTAAAATTATTTTCGTATTGAAAGACTGATGTATTTTGAGAAAAGTAACAAGCCAATTTTTAACTAGATTAGTTTGAAAAATGAAAAAAAAATTTTCTTGTATACTGTTAAATTTTTCATTAAATACATATTAAGCTAATTATTATAATAAACAAATGCAGAACATGTCACATAGAAAAAGAAATTGTGAAAAAAGAGTATTTTGTACTTGGAAAGGGAGATTTCATTGAATCAGTGGATGAGCACAAAGTTTACAGATATTTAGTATTCCAACAGGTCAAACACATAGAACATGAACATATAAAACAAAGACTAATGAAAGAAGACAATAGCAGATTAAACTCAATATTAACAATACAACTGAATGAAAAACATACATTTAAAGCAATCAGCACATACTGTATGAATATATGAATACCAAGACAGAAATGAATATATGAATACCAAGACAACATATGTTGTCTTGGTATTCATATATTCATTTAGTTATACATTAGACACACACAGGATTAGAACAACTGCAATCGAAAACATAAACAGCATTAACAAAACATAACAAACACTATCCTTATTATTCCTGTATGAACTGCAATTATACCAATACTCACTCCAAAAACCATTTAATGCAGATCATTTAAGACAATCAAAAACGTTAGACTAAAGAAATATTATTGCATTTAATGGTTTTTAGGATAGTGAATAAATACTATCCTAAATTGTCCATAGAAAAGCTGACACTTCCTCATAAAGAGAGAAAATGAGGCTTCACAGATATTTTAAATCTGCACTACAACACTACAAACACAGACATTACAAGAGATTTTCTACAGAAAACAAGAACCACCACAATTACTCAAAGTTGTAACTCTTGCAGACAAAAACATAGTACACAAAAAACACATACCATGAAGCAGTTATGGATCTAGAAGCTCATAGTAGGCATTCTAATGATATCCAGGATCATGTTGACAGAACGTCATCAAACTGCTGGCTGAAATCAACCCTTTTACCTCTCTTTGGAGGAAGGGTTTCTGGTTGTCATACAAGACTGGGTCATAAATAGGAAAAAATATAGGAAGCATATTTAAAAGATACAGCACTCATAGACTTGTAGAATATGCCATATAATTCACAAAATTATACAATACATTATTTTGTGTTTTTAATGCAAACTTTTACTTACATAACCAAATAGCAAATATAAAATACACCAAAAGTTTGCAAACATTTCCAAACATAAACTACTGCATACTCAAGAAACGTACTACAAATACACAACTCAGATGGTCATGGAAAATAACAGACAAAATATACTATGGCTAAGCTAAAATCACAGACAAAACAATCCATCAATAGACCAGACATGATATTCATAGAGAAAAAAATACAAATAACATACGTCATAGACATAGTTGTAACAAACACTCACAGCATACAAAATAGATACACTGAAAAAATTAGTTAAATACTCAGAACTCAACCATGAAATAAAGTGTTTGTAATGAATTGATAGGGTACTTATTGTGTCAGTGATCCTTTCTTGCATAGATATCATACTAAATTACACTAATGCTGTTATGAAGCACTAATGACTACACTTTTTGGAGTATGGAAAATTAGTGCTTCACAACAGCATATAATCACACTACAAAAGATTTTCATACTAACACATGTCACAGTCAGGAATGTTTTTAACATATCAAAAATATTTGAATGAAATATATACATTTTATTTTGAATAGTTTGTTTTATTCATTCATCTCATAACACAAAAACTGTTTTTGAAGTCATTATTTATAAGTGAAGAATGATTTTCGCTATAAGTTATACATTTTGAGGGAATACTTTTATATCAAATTTAACAGCTTTTCTTCTAATTACAAATAACTCTATGGTTAACTAGAATGGTTTGTTAAAGGTAGAATATATGAATATATATACATTAAAATATATATATATATATATATATTTTAATGTATATATATTCATATATTCTACCTTTAACAAACCATCAAACTGTTCTATATATATATATATAGAACAGTAAATGGAGCCACCACCACCTGTTTCACCCTGGATCAAAGACATTAGAAAACAAAAGGATTGTCCTCATGGGAAAATGACTCATGAAGAATGAGAATTCTCACCATTACACAGAGGAGAGAAAGCATATTCTTGGTCTAGGGACTGAAGCAGATGGACAGCCAACTCTAAAGTATTGATAGAAATTGAAAAGATTGAAGAATTTACATGTTTTTTTTTTAATTTGCTTGTAAATCAAGAATTCTTTTGATTGGCCAAACAATGAATTAATTTGATTTAGGTTAATATTAGAACATTTAAAGTAACAGCTATGTTTTCCTTTAAATTAACTGATATGAAAGTTAATCTTTTCTGAAGAGTCTACTCAAACACTGATAAAAGATTAACTTCAAATTAAATAGATATCTTAACATTAGACAGATTGAACAAATGAAAATTGATTTATAACAAGCAAAAGGATTATTTTCTCTATGCAAAAACTTCAGTTTTCTTAATCTCAATACACTGGTACCTCAGGATACGAAATTTTCAGGATACGACATAAAATTTGAACATATTTTTGCTCCACGATACGAACAAAAACTCACCATACGATGTTACATTAGTTCGCAGCGCCATTTTTTATTCGCTTCTGTTCATTGGTCTCAGTCCGTGTGTTTGCTTCGTTGTGGAATGATCTCGCTCGATAAAGGAAATCTTGAGGTATTATTAGAAAGTGACTGATTTTATTGAAAAGAAACATCCCAAAAAGGTTTACACTAGCCGTATTGCTGCTCAGAGTAATGACATTTGCCTAAGTCATTTTAGAAACATTTTAAAAAGTAGGCAAAGCCAAACCTCTTTCTTCTTCTTCTTCTTCTTCTTAGTGTGAGAAGTTGGACGCCAGTTATGAGGCTTTAGCGTCCTGCCGACGTTCAAACCTGTTTGGATAGATATTTTACCAAGCGACCTCTATCCAGTGAAAGTGCTGGTGGAAGTGAAAGAAAGAAAGCAAAAANAAATTTGTTAATCTATATATATATATAAAAACAAATGTCTCTCTAAATGTCTTCATGCATTACTACACCATTTATCTATCCAATTGCCATGAAACTTTGTTTTCATGAAGTTGTTTAATACATTCCCACAAAGGTTTCTGGCATAGTACATTTATCCTACAATAGATGGTGCACGTGTATACAAGCATTTTAGCATGGTTAGGAGTTGAAACTTGAAATTTGTTACACAGCGTACATCAAGAGAATGCACACTAAAAAGGGATTTTTTGAAATCCCCCCGCGGGGAAAGAGACAGGATTAAGGCATCAACAATGGAAGTGTTAAGTAACAATAAAAATGTTAACAATGGAAGTGTTAAGAGAAAGCAACGTGCAAGTTTTACAGGCGCAGATGCAGTGTTTTGCGTTTTTGCAGGAAATCGAACATAATTTTAGACCCATCTAAAAATTTTCTAATTAGTCTGGAAATAGGGGAACTTAATTCTTGCATTCTGTGAAAACAAGTAAGATTGGCTGTAATGTAATAATCTTAATCTTTGCTATCGTNATATAAAAACAAATGTCTCTCTAAATGTCTTCATGCATTACTACACCATTTATCTATCCAATTGCCATGAAACTTTGTTTTCATGAAGTTGTTTAATACATTCCCGCAAAGGTTTCTGGCATAGTACATTTATCCTACAATAGGTGGTGCACGTGTATACAAGCATTTTAGCATGGTTAGGAGTTGAAACTTGAAATTTGTTACACAGCGTACATCAAGAGAATGCACACTAAAACGGGATTTTTTGAAATCCCCCCGCGGGGAAAGAGACAGGATTAAGGCATCAACAATGGAAGTGTTAAGTAACAATAGAAATGTTAACAATGGAAGTGTTAAGAGAAAGCAACGTGCAAGTTTTACAGGCGCAGATGCGGTGTTTTGCGTTTTTGCAGGAAATCGAACATAATTTTAGACCCATCTAAAAATTTTCTAATTAGTCTGGAAATAGGGGAACTTAATTCTTGCATTCTGTGAAAACAAGTAAGATTGGCTGTAATGTAATAATCTTAATCTTTGCTATCGTTACTTTTTGCCCAAGCAACACTGGGCTTATCTGCTAGTTCTGTTATAAATAAAGACCCAACAATCTTCTAATATGAAAGATTGAAGTAAATGTGAGTTATACACATCTTATTTAAGAAAGATTAATGAAAAAAAATAATTATTTACCTGATTTTGGAATCAGTGAGTGATAGTGATTATGGTGATGGGTGGTATGGGGACGGAGACTAAATCCTCATCACTGGAGATAGGTAAAGATGGATATGAAAGAATAAATGTTTGCAAAGGAGCCCTTCTACCATCTTACAATTCAAAAACAAATAAGTGGCAATTAACAAGCTATAGAAGGCACTGTATAAATTTAAAATAGTAAATACAAACATGTAACATGTAACTACGTTTAACATGTAAGACAACAAATGTTGTCTTACTTATTAAACATGGATATTGATTTACATGATTTGAAAAAAATGTGAAGGTATGTATAATGAATGTATAATAATCAGATTTCAAGAAAAACATTTGGTTAATAATATTTATATTGGATTGTGTTTGTAACCTCCAGCATTTATTTTCTTTCTCATAGAATCAATTTTATTATTTACAAAGAAAATTCAACAACAATAACTATAATGATTACAAATTAATGTGGTTGGCTTTCCTCAACAATGTTATAACAAAATGATGTTAAATGAGGACTTTCTGTATTTGATATTTTAATTCAATTTACAATTTGGATTAAAGCATTTGTGTATAAATTACCCATTCAATGTTGAATCATGCTGAAATTCTTTCTAGAACCATTATTTTTTTTAAATTTTGAAATATACTATTAAAATATTTATGTAACTGTTTTGTTGTTATGCATATGAAATTAATTTATTATAAATTTTGTAATACAATATTTTTTTGTAGACATCATACTTATAAAAAAGTAAAAAAAGAAGTTGAATTGCAAGAAGTTGGACCAAGATTTGAATTAAAATGTAAGTTTAATTACATAAAATAATACATAAATTATTTATAATGACTTTCATGTTTTTTTAATAGTGTATGAAATTAAATTGGGAACAATTGATGAGGAAAAAGTAGCTGATGTAGAATGGGCACTGAGGCCATATATGAATACAGCAAAGAAAAGGAGAATTCTCAGTGATGATGTCTTTTGAATATATTAGATTGCATTGCATGTAATATAAATAAAATTAATTTTATTATAAAATAAAAATAAATATATTGTTTTAATACTATAATGGTTTTNACATAATCTAGTGTTTTTCCTACTGCCTTTGACGTGTTGATTTTTGGTATTCGTGGTCTTTGTGTGGGATCTGTACCAGTATATTTAATGAGTGTTTCCTGAAATATAAGTGAGAGCGTATTAACTAATTCTATGTCTACGTTATCAGTGATGGATGGGGAAGTGCCTGCAGTATCATTAGTGGTACTTGTTGTGTCTGTGCTATAGTTATTATTATTATTATTATTATTATTAGTGTACTACTTAGCTTTAATTTGAGTGTGTTTTTCATATTAGAATGAATTATTTGGTTTTATGTGTAATCGTATGGGTAAAAATGATTCACCTTACGACATTTTCATGATACGATCTCAGTTTCGGAACGGATTAATTTCGTATCCTGAGGTACCACTGTATTTGAAAAATGGATTTTTGTCTGGAATGTTTGGCTAAACTGCAAGATTTTAAATTTGTTTATATCATTTAAAATAACTTAAAATTTTCTAAACTTATGACTTTTATCAAATCATATATATTATCAACTTACTTGAAGTATTTAAGTATGCATACCAAATATGTCTTTATCATCATAAGTATTTCAACTAATTTGATGATTTTTTGATATAAGTGTTTTTAAAAATTAGGTACTATAGACTAGAACACCAGTAAACCACTCTTAAGTAGTTTGCAAAGGAAGCTAATTGGTACTTATTTCTGCTGTAAATAAGAAATAGTTATCAAGGAAAAACATACAGTCTATAAACAAACTGTTACTAAACTGAAATTTTTCTGCAAGAATTATAAAAGTATAAAATTATTTTTAAAACATTTTAAATAATCACATCATAAAGATTTTCATACAATTAAAGTATATATTGTGCAATTCTTTTCAACATTTGTTGCTGTAATGAAAACACTTTTGTTTCACAATATTTGAGTATCTGTTTTTTTTCTACAGTAGAGCATTGATTATATGAATACCAATCAAGATTCCAGTCGGCAAATTCAAATTTCTGCTAGTGCTGTGTGTTGGGAGAGGGAGAATGGTGCTAGTGTGTGGTGCTGCAGCATTCTTCCTCTCCCTGCCAACTAAACTGTAGGCCTACTTTAATGTACTACTTATGTAAGATATGTATTTGTAAGATGTGTGACACAAAATATATACAGTACAATGTTGAGTGTAATATATTTTTTCATAAATGATCAGTTATTCAAACAACCCAGTCCTGAATTGTTTCGGATAATTGATGCTCTACTGTAATAGCTTTTATAATAAAATATTTTATTATTGCCTTTTTATATTTTGTTGAAAAATTCTACTTTTCACTTAAATTCTAATTGATTTGTAATATTATTTGAAAAATTGTTTTCAAATTTAATGTAAGTTGTAAATGTATGTATTAATATTTTTTTTTCTAAATTTAATTATTTATTTTAATTTTATACATTCATTTTTTTTATAGGTTATGAACATCTTAAAATATCTGTTTCCTGTACCAAAACCCGATAGTCAAAGAGTTATAACTTTTGTCAATCAGGATGATTATATATCATTTAGGTTAGTGTAGTTATTTTATCAATTTTAGTACTTCTAAATTGGTTGTTTAAAATAATAAAGAATAATCAAGTTTAGACTGATGACTTCATATTACAAACTACTTAAAACTTTGTCAAGGAATTTTTCTTTTTTGTGTTAAAATTTGTCTAAACCTGTTTAGCAAATGGGTTTTCCAATCTTCCAAATACTAATGCTGGTTAGTTGAATGCCAACTCATCTATAGATTGCATGTGTAAGATTCAGGTAATAATTAGACTACTACTACACAACATATGACAAGACTATTATTCATAGTAATGAATAAAGGTGTGGTACATCCGTACTTTTTGCTGGCACATGTATAAGAGGAATTTTGTGCACAAAGTGTTGCCAAATAACTTCATTTTTTGATAGTATTGCCATTTGAACTTCAGGTCTTTGACCACCACAGTGTCTGTGATATGAAATGAGCAGGAAAGGATACATGTTAACCAGAGCATGAAGTAGTTTGTCTGGTGGCATTGGATTGTCTGCAGAATGTCTTCACTGGTCTTGGCTTTGAGGAGATTGGGAGTAGATGGTCTGGCTCTCATTCTGGGAGTATAAAGGCAAGTTTTATCCAATCAACAAAAATTATGGTTTCTTTTTCATTTATGTTTAAAGTGAATGTCTTGGTATTATGTGAGAGGATTTTATAGGGTCCATTGTCTGGAGGTTGTAAAGGCTTCTGTTCCACATCATAGTAAAATAGGTGGGAGCATTACTCCAGATTTTTGTAGATAAATGGGTTACGATGAAAGTGGTGCACTATAGGCACTGGTTTTAAGTTTGTCATCACCATCATGGGTTCACATCTTGAGAATTTGGGATGAGAAATACTCCAGGCAATCTGAGACTGGTGCCATAAAGCATCTTAGCTGCAGTAGTATCAGTGTCCTCACATAGAGCACTTTGCAATCCCAATAGGACTGTAGGTAGCACTTCTATTCATCTTTCAGTAGAGTGACATTTGATATCAGTTTTAAGCGAATAATGAAAATATTCAACCATGCCACTTGCAATTGGGTGTTATCCTAATTAGCTCTTTTGGCACCAAGAAGTTGAGTGAGGGATCTGAATAGGCCAAATTTGAATTGTCCTTGGTCAGATGTTATCTGTGGGTAGCCCAAAGCGAGATATCCAGTCTGAGTACAGGGCTGAAGCCACTGTTTCAGCCACTATATCTGGCATTGAGATTGCCTCGGCCAACAAGAGAAACTTTCAATGATTGTGAAACATTGTTTTGAGCCATTGGAAGGTGGCAAAGTACCAACAATATCAATATGAATGTGTAAAAATATATCATCTGGAATAGGAAAGGTTTCCAGAGGGCTGGTGATATGTCTCTGGATCTTTGACCACTGACAAGAAATGCAGATGTGAGACCTTGTCTGGCAGTCTTTATTGATGGATGGCCAGACAAATTTCTCTTTAATCAACCTGGTTGAGCTCCTTACTCCTGGATAGAACAGGTTATGATTTGTGTCGAAGGCAGGGCAATGATAATTAAGTGGAATGTATGTATGAATGTGACCTGTTGATACAATTACATTACATTACAGTAAATTTCAACATCACTCAGAAAGTTTAAACTTCTTAAGTATGAGTAACCAGTCACTTGAGATCAGGAGAGACCTAAGCTCAGGGTCTTGCTGTAATGTGTAGTAGATGGGTTACTGATTGTCTCAATGTGAGAAAGAGCATTGGCTAGAATATTATCCATTGCTTTGATGTGTCTAATGTCCTATAAAGTAAAGATGTCTCAGCTGACAGGAAATTTCATATTTCAGGGAGCTGTATATAGATAACTATAAAAATTCATGTTTTTTGAGTTACCCCACCACCAACAAAAATCCTTTTAAGGATAGACATAGGTTAGGGATAAACATTAATGCACCAATAATCTTTGGTTATTGACACATCAATGTGACTCTATAAAATTTAATATTAAAATAATTGCACATACTACCTTATTTATTGTGCAGGTTGCAAATTAGTCTAACAAAATAACACCTCAAGTAATGTTTGTATGTTGCTATATGATATGGTTATAGAGAATTATTTTGCATACATTACAAAGTACAAAACTCAATTTTAAGGGTTGGTGGTGGGAGTAACTTGAAAAACATGAATTTTTTTTTATACTTATCTATATGTATCTTTGTAGACATAAAAATAATTTTAAAGAAAGGTTGCATCTCTTTTTTTATCTCACCAATTGGCAATTATTCCACAAAACAAGAAATTGACATTTTTTCAAGGGATGATTTTACCTCAAACTATAATATGGCATGAATGAAAAATGTTACAGATGAATTACACTACTAGCACACAATGTTTTAAATGTTTCTTAATTTCTGGGTTGCCTAACCTCCCTTGTTGAATGTAGATAATTGATGGTAATTATTAAAGTCCAATCCTGGCAAATACATTTTGAGTTCTATTTCTGTCATCAAAAACATTGATGATCTATGAAATATATTAAAAATCACAATATAACTTGTATCTTCAGTCTTTTTAAAATATCTGCTTCCTTTATTACATGTATTTATTTAGTTTGGTTAAAATCTGATTTTAACAAACAAAACTTTAAAACTTTATTGGTAACATCTTAACCTTTTAAAAGTTTTACTCAACTGATCATACTTTTTCACTTTTGCCTCTTTCTGTCCTTTTGGCACTAAGAGGGTCATTTTATATATATGACCAGGCCAACAGTGGGGAATGATCAGATGATGAGGTAAGGGGCCTGACTTAGCCAGGATACTGTCCACAAAAATCCAGATTTGATCCTGGGTTTCCAGAGTGGTAAGCTGTTGCCTTAACCATATTGCCATCTGGCTGTCAACCAGTTGATCATCTTGCATGCTGACAACTTAGGCATTGTGGGGATATTATATTACAGAGAACTTAAATATGTTTTATGAAATAAATGTAAAATCTATTAACATACATAACATAAATTTAATATAGAAAAATAAACTTAACTTTATGTAAATTTAACATTGAAAGATATTATACACGAGGGATGGCGAATCTTTTTGAATCTGCATGCCAGATAGTAAGCATATTAAGCATACTTTTATTTAAAAATGATTAGGCATGCAGAAGTTTTAGACTTGTAGTAACTATATTTAAATTTGGCAGAATGGCTGAGTGGTCAAAGTGGTAGCTTATTGCTCTTGTGGACCTGAGATCAAAACCCCAGAAAATTTTCAGGTGGTGATCCATTCTTCACCATCCGACTGTTCCATTTGGAGTTTGCTAAATAAAAAAGCCCTCTTAGTGACCACAGGGCAAAAAGAATTTTAAAAAACTATATTAAAATAAATAAAATAATATTCTGTAATTAGAGTAAATGTAAAGAACCTGATTGAAAAAGGTGATAAATCGATATCATATAATACAGTCGACCCCCCCATAACACGGGTTCCTATAGTTCGGATTCCTAAATCACAGTGAAAAAATTGTGACAGTATTCATACAAACATGCTAAAAAACTCATATAATTCAGTAAAACGTCATTGCCAACTCGTGTCGCAACAGGATTAGTCGAATCTAGACCAATAGCGGATATTGCACAAACCGTTGAGTTTAAACGAGCAGCGGACCTACTAAAAACCATTAATTATTTAACATCCATAAAAATTATCTTTATATTAATGATATCTCCAAAGTTCAGCAAATTTTTTGCAAGAAAAATAATTTATCAGGAAACAGGCGAGTGCCATTCAATTACAAGCTCCACAACGAAAACAAGCTTAAGCAATGGCGTAGTCGAACGGTGCACACTTGGTAAGTAATCCTACAATTTTTTGTTTATAGCATAGTTTATATGGATTATTCCCAAAAAATTGTACGTGTTTTGGAAATGTTGAGTGAAATTAGTCTAGAATCAATTAATTTTATGGAAGAAACCTTTCAAACAGCTGTAATCTGTAAACTGCATACTTGCCGGGCTGTGATTGGCTGGACTTGTAGAAAATGGATTCATAAAAACTGGAACGTATCTACCGTGTTATATGGGGATCGACTGTACGTTATGTGCTGGATGATTTCTTTGACATGCCACAGGTTGCCACCTCTGTTATACACCAACCTTTTAAGCTTTCTGTTAGCTTATTCAGAATTCAGTATATTTCTGGATAAATATTATTGGCTGTTAAATTTGCAAGTAGCATTTGATGATCTTTTGTTTTTTATTTAATATAAATTAATAATTGTATTTAATATTTTTTGTGTTTTTATTTTTGATTTTTTCTATGCACTAAGAACCTTTTATGTTCATAATTGATTTAGCCAGGCTCACAATAAGGTGAGGGACAGAATCCAATATATCCAGGTCAGACCACTTCTTGAAAAATTTCTGGAGTTTTTCAACCATCCAGATTCAATCCCAGGCTCCCAAGCAGTATATTGGTGCCTTAACTGCCTCGGTTATCTAGCCATCTGTACAGAAAGTTCTGACTTAACATTGTCAATAAGTTCGTGAAAACTGAATACAGTAGATCCCCCTATAAGACGGTAGATACGTTCCGTTCTTTATGAATCAATTTTGTAGGAATCATAGTTTACGGACTACGGCTGTTTGAAAGGTTTTCTTTCATAAAATTAATCGATTCTAGACTAATTCGACTCAACATTTCCAAAATACGTATATTTTTTTGAAAATAATCCGTATAAACTACGTTATAAACAAAAAATTGTAGGATTGCTTACCGAGTGTGTACCGTTCGACTACGCCCGTTGCTAAAGCTTGGTTTCGTCGCGGAACAGCGCATCAAATTGCGGCCGCGATTTCTGATATTATTTTTCTGCGAAAACTTCGTTGACCTTTGGAGACATCATTAATATAAATAATTTTTATGGCCGTTAAATAAGAAATGTTTCTTTCACAAGAAATGTATAAAATTACAGTACTAAACAGACGATAGGTCGCCTAACTCGCCGTAGCGTGACGCTAGACGGCGAAAAATATATATTTAATTATAATAAAGTTACAATAAATTAAGTTAATATATAATTATATATACAGTACCTAATTTATATATAATTAATATATAATTATATGTACAGTACCTAATTTATATATAATTATATGAACAGACGATACTAAACTCAATTTATCCGCCTAAACGTCCGTAGCGTGGCGCTACGGACGGCGGGAAAGTAGTTTGGCTGCCCGATGACGTTTTACGTATTATAGGAGTTATTTTTACCGTTGTTTACGGATACTGCCACAATTTTTATAGGAATCATAACTATAGGAAACGGTTTTATAGGGGGATCTACTGTATAAGCAAAACAATATATAAAATCATTTTTACCATAAGCTAAGTGATATAAATAAGAGTTAAATTCCTACAACATATATCTTATCACAGAAACATTGCTAAACTTCTAAATATAGATCAAAATTAAAACTGGAATAGATAATAAAATGAACACCATACATAATTTTCCAGCAAGAATTTGTGGAACAAATGTTTTGGTTTATTTTATAAATCTGCTTCAGGTTTCAAATTCCACAATTCAAAATTTTCAAATTTGTTAATCTATATATATATATAAAAACAAATGTCTCTCTAAATGTCTTCATGCATTACTACACCATTTATCTATCCAATTGCCATGAAACTTTGTTTTCATGAAGTTGTTTAATACATTCCCACAAAGGTTTCTGGCATAGTACATTTATCCTACAATAGATGGTGCACGTGTATACAAGCATTTTAGCATGGTTAGGAGTTGAAACTTGAAATTTGTTACACAGCGTACATCAAGAGAATGCACACTAAAAAGGGATTTTTTGAAATCCCCCCGCGGGGAAAGAGACAGGATTAAGGCATCAACAATGGAAGTGTTAAGTAACAATAAAAATGTTAACAATGGAAGTGTTAAGAGAAAGCAACGTGCAAGTTTTACAGGCGCAGATGCGGTGTTTTGCGTTTTTGCAGGAAATCGAACATAATTTTAGACCCATCTAAAAATTTTCTAATTAGTCTGGAAATAGGGGAACTTAATTCTTGCATTCTGTGAAAACAAGTAAGATTGGCTGTAATGTAATAATCTTAATCTTTGCTATCGTTACTTTTTGCCCAAGCAACACTGGGCTTATCTGCTAGTTCTGTTATAAATAAAGACCCAACAATCTTCTAATATGAAAGATTGAAGTAAATGTGAGTTATACACATCTTATTTAAGAAAGATTAATGAAAAAAAATAATTATTTACCTGATTTTGGAATCAGTGAGTGATAGTGATTATGGTGATGGGTGGTATGGGGACGGAGACTAAATCCTCATCACTGGAGATAGGTAAAGATGGATATGAAAGAATAAATGTTTGCAAAGGAGCCCTTCTACCATCTTACAATTCAAAAACAAATAAGTGGCAATTAACAAGCTATAGAAGGCACTGTATAAATTTAAAATAGTAAATACAAACATGTAACATGTAACTACGTTTAACATGTAAGACAACAAATGTTGTCTTACTTATTAAACATGGATATTGATTTACATGATTTGAAAAAAATGTGAAGGTATGTATAATGAATGTATAATAATCAGATTTCAAGAAAAACATTTGGTTAATAATATTTATATTGGATTGTGTTTGTAACCTCCAGCATTTATTTTCTTTCTCATAGAATCAATTTTATTATTTACAAAGAAAATTCAACAACAATAACTATAATGATTACAAATTAATGTGGTTGGCTTTCCTCAACAATGTTATAACAAAATGATGTTAAATGAGGACTTTCTGTATTTGATATTTTAATTCAATTTACAATTTGGATTAAAGCATTTGTGTATAAATTACCCATTCAATGTTGAATCATGCTGAAATTCTTTCTAGAACCATTATTTTTTTTAAATTTTGAAGTATACTATTAAAATATTTATGTAACTGTTTTGTTGTTATGCATATGAAATTAATTTATTATAAATTTTGTAATACAATATTTTTTTGTAGACATCATACTTATAAAAAAGTAAAAAAAGAAGTTGAATTGCAAGAAGTTGGACCAAGATTTGAATTAAAATGTAAGTTTAATTACATAAAATAATACATAAATTATTTATAATGACTTTCATGTTTTTTTAATAGTGTATGAAATTAAATTGGGAACAATTGATGAGGAAAAAGTAGCTGATGTAGAATGGGCACTGAGGCCATATATGAATACAGCAAAGAAAAGGAGAATTCTCAGTGATGATGTCTTTTGAATATATTAGATTGCATTGCATGTAATATAAATAAAATTAATTTTATTATAAAATAAAAATAAATATATTGTTTTAATACTATAATGGTTTTTGTGTATTTTATTTATTGTGTGTAAAAATGCCATATATCAAAAATACTACTATATTTGTGAAAACATCATTTTAATTATATTAACATTGTAAATAATTGTAGAATCCATCTGACTATTTCATTAAACTAGCTACAGTAGAATTATTGAAATATTTTAAGAATCTCTATATTGTCATTCATTACAAGAATTTTAATGTTCATAAATTTCTTTATAAACAGTTTTTTTTAATCAAAATCTACTAAATTTAATATTTTTTATAGAGAAGTAATTTGATAATGAACATACAAAGAATAGCAAAGTTTAAATCTATTCGAGATTGTAATAGATGCAAGTCAATATACAATATTATTGGCAGATTCACATGATTAAAATTTTAAACGACAAGTTTAAATATGAGAGGGAAAGGCTTAAGCCAGTGTAGTCCTCTGTAGATCTGTCTTTCATTAAGAGGAATTCTTACTGTCCATTGGGCAGAAAAAGTCAAATGGAGAAAAAATATTTAAATTTTAATAATAGGATGGCTGGCTGGTAGTGTTTTAATACTATAATGGTTTTTGTGTATTTTATTTGAGTTAGCATGGCTTGATGGGATACTGCAACTCACATGGACGATCTGCCCAAAGGGATACATCTGGGAGAACTTCCTGTGGAGAAGCTGGCCCCTATTTAAATTAGCCATGTAAAAAACCCAGAAAACTACGAGGTTAATAAGTGCCATTCCACAATAGGTGTTCAGTAGAGTTAATCTACCCTGCCACTGTTGAGCCATTAAGAACCGAGCCTCGTCTCACACCCAGCCGCTCTATCGTGGGCCTGAAAAAAACCCTCTTGGTACCCATAGGGTAACTCCCCACAAAAATTTCCTTCTTTTTGGCTTTTTATAATGAGTCACTCTCCGTACTCATTTGCAATGCATCCGCATTATTTGTATTTATAAAAATAACAAATCCGACGTAACACGATATATTCGTGATTAGTAATGTTCTATGTTTTACCATCGATAACAATATGCTAAGAACATCGATAAAACTGCAATGTGTTTTTAAATATCGATCATCACGGCATCTTTACTATTTTATTCAGAATGTTAATATTTTAGGAGACTTGTAACAAAAAAAATTTAAAAAACTATCGAACATTTTTTTTGTCGTCTGAGGATATGCAGATAATTTTTGTCCTCAGTGACCACTGTCCATTCGTTGGAAACTTTGATATCATCTAAGCGAACATGTGAAAATTTTAAAGATTGAACATGGTTTTCACTTTTTTCACATTTACCCATTTTAAATTAAAATATGTACTGAATATATTGCCTAGGGATGAAATGATTCTAAAGCCGTCACTGGCTCATGTTCATGCATTTATTTATCATTCCCTCTGTTTCTTCCGGAGTGAAAGCGAGGGCTGCAGCACTCCACTATTGTCAATGAAATGAAATGAAATGCATTTATTTTAAAAAATCAGCAATGAGTTGCTTAACTTTCCCGCGCCATCTGTTATAAAAGTTTTTTAAATAAAATATCGTATTTTTAATTATTATAAAATGGCAAAAATTTTAATTTTGAGGATAGGAATGAGTTTTATAAAAAAATTGTAAATGCTAATAACGAGTAAAGTCGTTATTAAGTCAGACCCTACTCGAGCTATAATACGATCTTTTCTCTCCATCCCTTCGACCTTTAACCACTAAAATTTAATAGCATCCATCCTTCTAATAAACAAACCTTAATGCAAAATTTGGGAAATTTTTGACAAAAAGCACAGGAGTCATTAAGCTGCAAAGAGGATGAACAAAATCCTGCCCCACACATACAAACACAGAAACAAAAATCCGAATTTTTTTGCATTTCTCGACGTTTCAAGATCTGGGGGGTCATTTTTTGATCTTTCGTCATACTTTCCCTCTGTTATATATAATAGCCGGAAAAGAGATAGGCTAAATATTTTTTTACTTCGAATTAAATTCATATTTTTTTCGTTTTTTACTCATTTCGCCCAGTATGCTTTTTTCTGAATCCATCAAGGGTTCGGCTAGACCACAACGGAGGAGTCCGAATGGGAGGAACGGGCCCGTTATATCCGGGTCATCTCTGAAAAAATCCTTGGAGTTACTTGCCCGGATTCTATTCTGGATCCCCAGAACGGTAGGCTGACGCTTTAACCGCCTCGGCCACCCGCCCGTCAATTTTAAATAATTAATTAGTTTTAACTCTAATCATGTATATATTAACCCCCCCTCCCATTCTTCAGTGCCATATAATTTGTAAGTGCTTTCATAAAAGAACAACCATAGGTGAAAATTCAATTCCGAGTACAGAGACATATCCTATATTCATAATTTTAAATACGTGTTAATCCTATGGGATTGTTGGACAGTACATTTTATATAATTTAATGTGTCTTTTTCTTATCTTGGTTTGTTTTTACGTCAGTCCGAAATATATATTTAGAAGAGAAAATTGAATAATAACTTTAGGTTAAACCATTGAATATTTGCTATATGAAATACTATACCTGATATAAGAGGATTATATAGTTAAACTAATAAGAATTCAGCTATAAATAATTAAAAATAAAACATTATTCAAAACAATAGAATAAACCTTGATTTAATCACATAAGTATCATTATAATTGATAATCATTATGTCAATGATACAGAGAATAATGATACTTATCAAAAATATTTACATAACTATCAAAAATAGAAACAAAACCACAAACTTTTCTAATGGAAAATATTGATAAGATATTAAATATGCTTCGTAATCGTTATAAACAGAAATATTTCTAGAATCTAGATGAACAAGTCTGCTCAATCAAAAGGTCTGCACATTGGCAATTGATATGTTGAGAAGTCTCCACGGCAAAAGTGTTTTTTTATGAAGGCTTATTCCAGTTATTATTTTATCTAATTGACACGATTTCAATTTTCTTATCATACAAAAATTGAAATATCGATAAGGATCTGACTTGTGTAGAAATACATCTTTATGTGGAAACAACAGCATACACTCCCAAGAAATCTTCAACAAATTTCAATATTTTATAGATTTAGGATCCTTTAAGCAGCGAACTCTACTGAATTCTTATTTACGCTGATATCAAAGATAAAGTCAGATTAAAGATTCGCAAATATTTTATAAAATCAAATATGATTGTCATTTTAATTCTACTTATACGGTGTCTCTTTTTACTCGTATTTTAGACTGGCATCTATGCAAATACAGTATAAAATTACTTTTATCCATATTTAAATATTTATACGAAACAATAATGTTCTTTAAATTTAAATATCATTCTTTTGTCTTATGATTATTTAAGTGGTTTTTTTACTGTTTATATACGTACTTTATTATTAATAATAATAAATTAAGAGTTTTTAAACGAATTAACACTATAATTTTATCGCTTAAAAGTAAGGATCGATCGAATGTAGTTTTAATAATTTAATTTAGAAAAATGGTTTAAAATTTCAATCGTTTGAACCGATTCTTATCCTATACAAAACGATTACAATTTAATAATTTAAATTTCATATAGTGTATTTGTTACCGCTAAAGCTCGAAATCCGTTAATGTATACATTACCTAGCTAATCTGCAGATTAACTAGGGTGATCCGTTAAAGCTGCGAAAATTGTTCAATTTCTAAAATTACCTAGGTAATTTGCAGAGTATCTAGGTAATCTGCACATTNGCTTTGATTTCATGAAAAATACAACGAATGAAAATTACAAGGTTTTTCGTCTTGAAAAAGATAAAGACTTAGGAAAAATTCATGAAATATGGGAAAAAAGAAATTTTACAGATTTAAAGTTTGTAAGAAAAGGCGAAGTAGGAGAGTGGAAAACCCATTTTTCTGCTAGTCAGAATGAAAGAATGAATCAACTGATTCAATGCAAATTTGGAAATACAAATTTATTGCATATTTGGAAAGATTTATTATAACTCTTATTGTATTACTGGTGTAATATGTATTAGAAACTGAATGCAATGAAATAAACTATGTAATTGTTTCTTTTAGTATAATTATATTGGATGTAAAGAGAAGCATTTCGCATTGCAAGAAGCCTGGATAAAATAAATCATAAGGTCTGGGCATTTTTGAATTATGAGGAAGAAATAAAAAACATGTATAAATTCCTTCATATACCAAACCTATAAATTCTCATACTTCTAATTAAAGTGTTTATATAGCTTCAAAAATATTTTCTGTAATTAAGATTAAAATCGTTTCGAAAATCGAAAGTTTTATTCTAAATGTATATGCCTACAAATGGAGAGTTGAATGAAAATAATCAATAATTCAATAGACCAATAGGATTTTCGTTCCGGGAGGGCGGAAATGGAGCAGAAGATTATTTGAGGGTGTGCCAGATTAACCCACTTTGGGGCCTTAGACATTTTTTTCTTACCGGGCCCTTTCTCTCTCCCACAAGAAATAGAGCACACAAAAAATATAAAACAATAAATAAAACAAAATTAAATAATGTGAAAAACTAAAACAAATCTTAAATTTTTATTAATAAAATATTCTTAATATACAACAATAAATTTTAGTTTTTCTAGAAAAGTTTGAACATTTTGTTTATAAATTTAAAAAAAATTGAAATTTATTTTATTAAATGTCTAACAAAAGTTGTTATACAACAACTTTTGTTACCTTTTGGTACAATAACCTTAAAATATTAATTGTTTAATTTAACCTTTTTGGTTAATATTTAAATAATATAATATTTTACTTATGAAAGGTAAATTGAATAATGAAAAAGATAATTTAAATAAAAACCAAAATAGTTTTTAAAATGTAAGTACCGTATATTTACGTAGATAAGATAACGAGGTATAAATTTTCGTGGAAGTTTTATAGTTTTAGCATATATCTATGCTATAAGACCGCCAAACTATCAACAACGGCCTATGAATTTAGTT